ATGGATGGGTACATGATGAGGTGGTTGGTGCAGCGGATGTGGAAGGAGACAGTGCTGCACTGGGGACTGAAGGAGGGAGAAAACACAGTGGCAACGGTGAGGCACGGGGTGTGGGCCTGCCTGCAGAAACAGGAGCCAGAGTGGAAGATAGGTGAGAGCATGAGCGAAGAAGGGAAGGCAGCGATGCGGGCACTGCTGGCAAGGCATCGGAAGGGCTTCGCCTTCACACTGCTGGAGTTGGGGAGGTGCAAGATCAAAGAGATGGCGCTGAAATTGAGTAGTGACGAGCCGGTGTTCCACCGCAGGAGGAAGATGCCACCAGGGGATGAAGTGATCTGCAGGGAGAAGATAAAGGAGTTACTGGAAGCCGGACTGATGAGGAGGTCAGAGTCAGAATACGCTACCCCAACCGTGGTGGCAGCCAGGAAGGACTTGACAGGCGAGGTGTTGAGTAGGAGGATGTGCGGGGACTACAGGGATCTCAACAAAATTACAGTGCCAGATAGATACCCAATGCCGATAGCGGAAGAGCTCTTTGACAAGCTGGCTGACGGGGTGTTCTTCACGACGCTGGACCTGCGACAGGGGTTCAATCAAATCAAGATCAGAGAGGAGGATGTGAAGAAAACGGCTTTCCACGGACCGGATGGGCTGTACGAGTGGCTTTACATGCCCTTTCGGTCTGAGGAACGCCTCGGCGGTGTTTCAGAGAGTCATGGATGCGGTGCTGCGGGGAATAGAACACACGGCGTGCTATATTGATGATGTCGTGATTTTCAGCTTGACCGAACAGCAGCACCTGGAGGACGTGGAGAGGACCTTGACCGCCATAGAAGGGGCAGGGCTCACCTGCCATCCCAACAAGTGCAGGTGGGGGGAGCGGACAGTGCAGTATCTTGGGTATGAGGTCACAGGGGGGCAGATTGGTATCCAGCAAGCGAAGGTGCAAGTGCTGGACAGGCTGAGGGAACCAAGAGACAAGTCAGGGCTGCGTGCGGTCTTGGGCTTCCTCAGCTACTACAGGCGCTTCGTGCCGAACTTCAGCAAACGAGCGACAGTACTAAATGGGATGCTGCGGGAGGACAAGGCATGGGAGTGGGGAGAGGAGCAGAGACAGGCACTGCAAGACCTCATGACAGCCGTGAAGACAGCGACAGTGCTGCGGCTGCCAGCAGCGGACCAGGCCTTCATCCTCTACACAGACTGGAGCAGCCAAGGGATGGGGGCAATATTATGCCAGGAGGTGGAGGGAGTGGAGAAGGTGGTGGCCTACGCCAGCAGGAGCTGCAACCCGGCGGAAGCACAATATAGCTCATACATTGGGGAAGGGCTGGCGGCAGTGTGGGCGGTCGGGCATTTCCGGATATACCTGCAGGGCCGAGAATTCACCTTAGTCACCGACCATCAGCCACTCACCTGGCTGATGACTACACCAGGGCTAACAGGCAGGAACGCGCGGTGGGCGGTGAAGCTGCAGGAGTATGATTTCAAGATCAGGCACAGGCCGGGGAAGACGCTGCAGCACGTTGACGGCCTCTCCCGCAATCCACCGCCGTTGGAAATGAAACAGGCCACCCTGGGGACGGAAGAGACAGAGCAAGAGCCGGCACGGACCTTGATCTTACTGGCAAGAGAGGTGGAGCAGACGGGGGCGAAGGGGAGTAAGGGGCCAACCGACATCTGGTTGGATGCAAAGGCAATGCAATGGGTGAAGGGAGAAACCGAGGAGGATGAAACGGTGCCTGAGAGAGTAAGGGCACGAGGGCACCACTACAGGTGGTATCAGCAGCAGCTGCAGATTAAGACGGAGGATGGGTGGAAGCTGGTGCCAGTGCCCGAGGACCGTGAAGCAGTGATCAAGGAAGTGCACACCAAGCTGGGGCACTTCGGGCATGAGAGGACCGTGCACCTGCTGAAGACGGGCTGGTGGTGGGAAGGGATGCGCAGGCAAGTAAAAGAGTGGGTGGAGGGGTGCGAGGCGTGTCAGAGGAGCAAAGAAAACCTGACGCAGGCCAAAGCAGAGCTGCACTCACTGCCAATCTGCGGACTAGGGTTCCGTTGGTCCCTGGACCTCGCGGGAGAGCTGCCACTGAGTCGAAGCGGGAATCAGTACATCGTGTTCATGGTGGAGCATGTGAGCAAGTGGCTGGAGGTGCGAGCGATCCCTAGCAAGAGCGCGAGGCACATTGCAGCAGCCTTCAAAGCGCAAGTAGTGTGCCGATTTGGAGCATGCGGGGAGGTACTCACAGACCAGGGAACAGAGTTCCAGGGGGAGTTCAAGAAGCTGCTGGCGGAGACTGGCATCATGCACCGAAAGACCTCCCGCTATCACCCGCAGAGCGATGGGCCGACTGAGAGAGCCGTGCAAACCTTCAAGCGGGGGCTGCGGGCCTACGGGGAGCAGAGGAAGAGGGATTGGGATGAGGAGTTGGACTGGATCGCGGCTGGGTACAGGTTCGGGAAGCAGGCAGCGTTGAAGGATCACTCCCCGTATAGCCTGCTGTTCGGACGAGAGCCGATTCTGCCAGTGGGAGCACCACGAGTATTGACAGATACAGTGACAGCGGGCACGATCAGGAACTGGGTAGCCCTGTCCGAGGTGAGGGCGCGCTACATGCGCTACATGATGCCAGCCGCGTTGGAGAATCTGCACACCGCGCAGCTCAGGGACGCAAGAAGATACGAACAGAGGCAACACAAAGGGGAGGGAAGAATGGCAAAGGATGTCTGCGAAGGACAGGAAGTCTATCTGAAGAGGGCTAAGTAGGACACCCTTCACGTGGGGTTGGGGACCATCCGCTCGAAAGTCAAGGAGGTACGCCCCTCAGGGGTGCTGGTCTTGGAAAACGACACCGGAGCGCAGCTGAGAGAACATCAGACGAACACTACAGTGATCAGAGGGACCGGGCCTCAGCGTACTGGTCCTGTGACCCGCGCTCAAGCCGCTCGAGCACGGGCACAGGAGGGGGCAGAGAGTGGCTGAGGCAACCGAAGGAGCTAAGGGACGAAGAGCATGAGGACTAAGGCAGATGATGAGGGTAGAGCTGTATCTCCGACAGCTGTCACCGAATATGCACGGTTGTGCATATAAGGTGCCAGAATCATGGTGGTGTAGTGGAGGTGTAGCTATGTTGTGTTTGCAAATTCGAGGATAGGTAGGTGGGAGCTGGGAAATTGACGCGAAGTTGGTAGGAGAGCACCTTGGGTGAAAACCTTGCAACCAATGAGAACGAACCAACCCAGGCTCGAGCCGCACATTGAGAAATGCACGGTTCGAGCCAGGGTCAGGTAAGTTCACTCTCACACACACCTCTAATGCTTTCTGGTTGTTATCCTTTCGTATAGTGGACTATTGTCACCTTACCAGAGCAGGCAGGTGGCACACCACTCAGGGAGGACCTTAGAGGTGAGAGTTCTGTCACTTTCATATGAGAGTGGCTGAGGCAACCGAAGGAGCTAAGGGACGAAGAGCATGAGGACTAAGGCAGATGATGAGGGTAGAGCTGTATCTCCGACAGTAATCTAGCCGATTCTGCGCATTTGTATCCGTCATGTCACGGATATCTCTCTGCCGAGAGCGACGTGCGGGCGGAGGAGGGTCAACCATGGACGTGGAGGCATGGTTTGATCCTCCCGAACCGTTTCCCATGGATGAGAGCTCCTGATCGGCTGTCGCCCACAGCTGCTCAGCGTACTCCGATTTGCACATCGCGACGTTCCGATCCTTCTTGTTAGCAGTGGCGACAATGTGCTCTTTTATCCTAGTCGCATTAGCCGCGGGAAGCTTGCAATTAATGCATGTAGCACCAACGACCTTATCCTCTGCATTCTTAATCTTAATCACATGCTCCCAATATTCTGAGGCCGATCACACCATGGCGTCGATCAAGACTGAGCTAAGCTGAAGTGGGGCAGATCGGTGTTTTGAGGTGTTGAGTGGTGTTGAATGTGAGAAGATGAATGTGTTGAGTGACGTTTTTCACTACCAATAAGTACCTCTTAGAGCTTGTTGGTGCTGCTTTGTCGAGTGGTGTTGAGGGTATGGTTGAGATGAGAGGGAAGTTGATTGGGTGCTTGCTATTGGCTGGAAATGCATCGCATGCAATTGTTTCCAGCCAAACGACTGCATGCGAAAACACATTGCAAAGCGCGAATCGTGTTGACGAATACGCGAAACGGGTAAGAAAGTTGGCCAGTTCGCCAAATGTGTAAATCGCCGCGCCTCGTCGAATTGGTGTCGACGCGATTCGGCGAACGACATCAACGACTCTGCGAGACGGGAACGCATTTCTTTCCCGTTCGTCAAATGTCAAAATGTCGCGCCTCGACATTTTCCTGACATACGCGACTCGACCCAAATTCGGTCGGGACTGACAAGACTTCGCACGAGATCCCCCATATTGAACTCGACGGGTCTGAATGTTGAAAATCAATATACACTGTCCCAGTTTTTAAATTTCGGCCGATAGAACGGCCGTATTTATATTTGAAACTTAAATTTAACTAATGACCGTACTAAACCGTTTTAAACGAACGTGTAATACGATACCGTGTAATTCGGTGGAAAAAACAAAATTTCGGTCGTATTTTTTATCCTTGGTGGGATGGGAAGTATGGGAGCAAGGAAGGAGGTGTGCCACACTAGACGAGTGAGTCTCATTTGTAGATGAAATTCAAAAGGTATTAAAACTATCGTTCCCGGTTTGAGTAAGCTTTTCAAGTGAGGTGCGTCCATGAGGACAAGTGAGTTTCACTATCCAAACTGGAAAAAGGAGAAAGAGGGTGATTGCAGCTAGAAGTGACTCAGATGGTGCATATGGAGGGATGATAACGAGGGAGATCTAGAGAGGAGATAAAAATGAAAGGCAGGTTGGGTTACCTTGGCGAACAGGTGGGTTACCTTGGCGAACAGGTGGGTTACCTTGGCGAACAGGTGGGTTTCCTTGGCGAACAGGTGGGTTACCGTGGCACCTTAACAAGCATTGATAGCGCCCACCTACCCGTGCAAAGGTGGATTCAGAAGCACCGGATCGATGGAGGTCAAAGGAGAGCGCAGCAAGAAATATTTTTTCAACGGCTGACAGGCGACGAACGATCTGACAGGGGCGAGGAGGACGAGAAAAGGAAGCATGCATTCGGGCGTTGAAAACAGCAGGGAATGAGGAGTTGATGAGTTGTTAATTCGTTGCAGTAAGGCACCGGAGCTCATAAAACACTTAAACGGGGAGCTTCCTTCCTTTTGCTGCTTCCGAAGTTCTTTCTATATACATGTTCTACTTTAACGTGAAAAGCTGAGTACAGGAGAGATGTAGTGTGATAGCATGGAGGAAAAGTAAAGGTTGTAAGATTAGAATGGACATGGACACGCATGCATGCACGCACACGGATGCAAGTGCACGTGCCCGCACGCACGCACACACAAAAACGCACAGTGAACACACGCACCCATGCACACAGCACACACTCACATGCACACACAAACACGCGCACACGCACGCGCGCGCACGCACACACGCACGCACGCACACAGACACACAGACACACACACACACACGCACGCACGCACACACACAGACGCACGCACGCACACACACAGACGCACGCACACACACACACACATCACACACACACACACACATCACACACACACACACGCACGCACGCACACGTGCACACGCACGCACCATGATGTGGGGCGATGAGAAGATCTCTCGAATGGCCGCCTCCACGTGCTCTATCTGTACCACCAACGGGTTTTGCCGCACTTTCCTAGCTTGCACCTCAACTGCCGATGGCTCCACCTCCTCCTTTCTCCCCTCCGCCCCTTCAGCCCGTCCCCTCAGTCCCTCTTCTATTTCCCTCGTCATCTCACCCTTCACTCCTCTCGCACTCTCTTCTGCCCCTCGCACCCCTTTTCTGAGGGGCCTCAAATGGCGTGAGGGGGTGGCTGTACGTGTGTGACCACCGTTCACACCCCCAACACCACTAGCACCTCCAACGACCTCCTTCCCTCCCTCCCCACCTGCTTCATGTGTCTTACCTCTCCTTTCATTCCTGCTCGAACCCCCTCTTCCAACCTTCCTATTCCCCACCCCATTCTCCTCTTTCCCTTTGACTCCGCCTGCTGCATCCCTCTCCCCTCCCGCCACATCCCCGCTCCCCGCCCTCTGAAACAGAACAGACAAACCGCTCTCCACTCTTCCTCCTTCACAGCCCACCGCACTCTCCCTAACCAGGCTTGCCGCGGGCGCCAGACTCAGACCTGCTCTCGTCCTCGCCACCAACTCTGTTCCCGAACCAGCTCCCGCCGCTGCCCCCACCTGTGACCCTTTTCCGCTTGCTATCATACCATCTGTGCCCATCCCTGCAGCAGCAGGCACTGCTTCAGCACTCCCACCAGCGCCACCTATCACCCCCCTCCGCCCTGCTGTCGCCCTTTTACCAGTCATGGCCTCACCGGCTTGACCACCTGGACCCCTCTGACCTGCCACGTCCGATTGACCTGCAGCGTCAGGTTGACCTGCCACGTCAGGTTGACCTGCCACGTCAGGCTGACCTACCACGACAGCACAACCCGTCTCAGCTGCATGGCCAGTCCCTGCCAGCCTGGCTTCTGCCTCGGCGATCTCCACGGCCCTGCGGCAGATCTCCAGCGCCCGCCGCACGTCCCCTGATACCGACGCCACCTGCAGACAGGGCGGGAGGGAGGGAGGGGTGAGGTAAAGGTAAAGGTAAAGTAGGGGGATGAACCCCTCTGGTGTTACCCAGGCTGTCAGACGTAACCCGCCTACCCATTTGTTTACACACCTCGCTGGGTAACGAGGTTGTTCTATCCACTCCCAGATGAGCACCTGTGTAACCCCTTTTAGCGGGGACTGGCAGAATACGCTGCAGAGGGAATTTTGATCCCAGGACCTCATCTTTCATCGCAGAGGGGACCTCATCTTTCATCGCAGAGGGGACCTCATCTTTCATCGCAGAGGGGACCTCATCTTTCATCGCAGAGGGGACCTCATCTTTTATCGCAGAGGGGACCTCATCTTTCATCGCAGAGGGGACCTCATCTTTCATCGCAGAGGGGACCTCATCTTTCATCGCAGAGGGGACCTCATCTTTCACCGCAGAGGGGACCTCATCTTTCATCGCAGAGGGGACCTCATCTTTCATCGCAGAGGGGACCTCATCTTTCATCGCACTGGGGACCTCATCTTTCATCGCAGAGGGGACCTCATCTTTCATCGCAGAGGGGACCTCATCTTTCATCGCAGAGGGGACCTCATCTTTCATCGCCGAGGGGACCTCATCTTTCATCGCAGAGGGGACCTCATCTTTCATCGCAGAGGGGACCTCATCTTTCATCGCAGAGGGGACCTCATCTTTCATCGCAGAGGGGACCTCATCTTTCATCGCAGAGGGGACCTCATCTTTCATCGCAGAGGGGACCTCATCTTTCATCGCAGAGGGGACCTCATCTTTCATCGCAGAGGGGACCTCATCTTTCATCGCAGAGGGGACCTCATCTTTCATCGCAGAGGGGACCTCATCTTTCATCGCAGAGGGGACCTCATCTTTCATCGCAGAGGGGACCTCATCTTTCATCGCAGAGGGGACCTCATCTTTCATCGCAGAGGGGACCTCATCTTTCATCGCAGAGGGGACCTCATCTTTCATCGCAGAGGGGACCTCATCTTTCATCGCAGAGGGGACCTCATCTTTCATCGCAGAGGGGACCTCATCTTTCATCGCAGAGGGGACCTCATCTTTCATCGCAGAGGGGACCTCATCTTTCATCGCAGAGGGGACCTCATCTTTCATCGCAGAGGGGACCTCATCTTTCATCGCAGAGGGGACCTCATCTTTCATCGCAGAGGGGACCTCATCTTTCATCGCAGAGGGGACCTCATCTTTCATCGCAGAGGGGACCTCATCTTTCATCGCAGAGGGGACCTCATCTTTCATCGCAGAGGGGACCTCATCTTTCATCGCAGAGGGGACCTCATCTTTCATCGCAGAGGGGACCTCATCTTTCATCGCAGAGGGGACCTCATCTTTCATCGCAGAGGGGACCTCATCTTTCATCGCAGAGGGGACCTCATCTTTCATCGCAGAGGGGACCTCATCTTTCATCGCAGAGGGGACCTCATCTTTCATCGCAGAGGGGACCTCATCTTTCATCGCAGAGGGGACCTCATCTTTCATCGCAGAGGGGACCTCATCTTTCATCGCAGAGGGGACCTCATCTTTCATCGCAGAGGGGACCTCATCTTTCATCGCAGAGGGGACCTCATCTTTCACAAGTGAACCAGCTAACTAGCTGGGCCACTTCAGGATGGGAAGGGGTGAGGAGAGCCGGTTGAAGGGGAGTAAAGAGAGGCAGGTTCGCGCAGAAGAGGTTCGTGCAGGTTGAGGTGAGGACTGGTGCAGTGAGAATAAGAGAGACGTTGAGGCGTGTGGACGCCTTGAGTCCCACGGGCCCATCGAACCTCGCCAGATCCAACTGCCCTGCATGCAGACAGCACATGGCAGGTGGCAGGTGGCAGGTCGGGTGAAAGGGAGATTGGAGCGCAAGTGAGGTAAGACACAGCGAGACACCAACTCCTCGCAACCGGTTGCTTGCAAGAGGAGGCTCTCACTCTTCACAACATCCTTGCACCACTCAAAGGGGACGCTCACCCTTGCAAGCTCGCATGCTGGCGAGGGGGCAAGCTCGCACCATAGAAATCCACGAGCCTCACCTTCCGTGCAGCCAGCTCGATGGCTCTCGGTGCAAAGAGCTCGCATGCGTGCAGGCGGGCGGCGACGATCATCTCGATCTGGTGGCGCGTGTATGGCGCAAAGGGCACGCGGTGCAGCCCCATGCGGCTGGCGATGCGCGGCAGTAGGCGCTCCGGGAGGTCCACCGTGTTGGCGATGCCTGGGGGGAAGGGGCAGGGGTGAGGGTGACGCAGTGTAAGGGATGGGGTATGTAGAAAGGAAAGGGCACACGGAGAGAGTCAGTGGCAATAGGCGCTCAGGCGGGTCCACTGGGTTGGCGAATATGCGTGGGAGGAAAAGGGAGGAATATGTAGAGTGGAATGGGCACAAGGAGGAGAGGGAGGGGGAGCAGGCGCTGTGGTAGATCCACCGTGTTGGCGATGCCTGAGAGGCGAGGGAGAGGGGAGAGAGAAGGGGGAGAGGGAGGGGTGGAGGTGCAGAGTGCAAGCGGTGCAGCCCCTTCCTGCTGGCTAAACAGTCGTTTAGGAAGCCCTACTGCGTTGGGTATGCCTGGGTGGTGAGAGTGGGCTCAAGAAACGGGGAGGAAGATGTGTGGGGGGAGGTGTAGAGGGTGGAGAGGGCACGAGGCGAAAGGAAGGGGAGCAGGCGTTGGGGATCCCTGGGGGAACAGAGGTGAGCGGGTGGAGACAAGGCGAGAGAGAATGGGGAGAGGCAGGATGCAAAGGGCCCATGGTGAAACTTCATGCTCGAGTGCAAGTTTGCTGAGCTGCACGCGATGCGTGAGAAGCTACACAGAGACAAGTGGGGCGGGCGCAGGTGGTCGACTTACTACAGCAAGACGTGCAATTTATGGATAGCCTTTAAAAGGAGAATATGAATCACGCTTGCCAATAACAGCAAGATTGAGCAAAAGTGGAAGCCCTTACCAATAACGGCAAGGCGTGCAGAGCTCCAGGTGGTCCACTCGAAGATGTTGTACAGCACCTGGGGAGGGGTGCGCAGGGGCGTGCAGGGTGTCAAGGTTTAAGCTTAGACCCGATCCACTAGTAGTGAGCTCTAGGCTTGAGCAAGGTGGCGAACACCACGTTCGAGGCGAACCGAACAGGTTTTGTTTTTCAGCTTAAATCGTTCGCCCGAACGTGCTCGATGTTCGCCCGAACACGTTCGTGTTCGTGGCGCTGCTGCAAAACGCCCCGTGTCGAACACGAACGTGTTCGAGGTTCGCCCGAACACGCCTCCACAGGCGAACAGCGAACACCTGTTTTTGGCTAAACTGTTCGCCGAACCGAACACTGTTCGGTTCGGCAAAAGGACGTGTTCGAGAAGGGGCGAACACGAACATGTCCGTGTTCGCCCTTTGCTCATCCCTAGTGAGCTCAAAGCTCTTTAAGTACATCAGAAATTATCAAGGTATGGATGGGGAGGGAATTGGGGGCAATCCTAGGGAATTGAGGGTAATCCCAAGGCAATCTCCAATTGGTGGGTTGGAGATTACATTTGTGTTTGGTTGGGATGTGGGTGTACACCCAACCAAACACAAAGTGCGAACTACACTAAACTAGGATATAAAAAGTACAAGTACAAATGTGAGATTCAGGGCGAACATTAACACAGGGCTGCACGGGGGTGCACAGGATTACACAGGAGTGCACACGGATGCATAGAGGTGCATAGGAATGGAAAGAATGGAAGGAAGAGAGAAGAGAATAAATGCACAAGGCCAGGGCCAGTCAGTCCCCAGTGGGACTCTCCACCCAGCAGCTCCTGGCACCTCAACAGGCACGCTGTACAACCTAATAAAACCCTTCTCTACCGCTCCACAATTCCTTTTGACTCAAAGTTTCCTCCTAATCAGCTGATCCATCTCCCCCACCAGCAGCACACACACTCCCCTGCTCCTCTCCCCTGCTCCTCCCTGCTCCTCTCCCTGCTCCTCTCCCCTGCTCCTCTCCCCTGCTCCTCTCCCCTGCTCCTCTCCCCTGCTCCTCTCCCCTGCTCCTCTCCCCTGCTCCTCTCCCCTGCTCCTCTCCCCTGCTCCTCTCCCCTGCTCCTCTCCCCTGCTCCTCTCCCCTGCTCCTCTCCCCTGCTCCTCTCCCCTGCTCCTCTCCCCTGCTCCTCTCCCCTGCTCCTCTCCCCTGCTCCTCCTCACAGAAACGCCTCCCTCGACACTTGAGTCCCATGGTCGACCCCTCCACTCCAAAATCTCATCCCATGGTCTGGTCCTTGTCGATGCTCATTCATCTCACCCACCACCACCACCACGCATATGACGTACCCTCCACACACACCTCACGTGGTGAGACGCCTCACGTGGTGAGACGCCTCACGTGGTGAGACGCCTTCCCAGCTTGTGCTCCTTGCGGACCAACCAGCTCATCCACCACCACCACCACCACACACCCACGCACGCCTCACTCATAACATCATGTCCTCACAAGCACAACCCTTTTCAACAACTCCCAGCCCCCCCGAACCATTTCCACCCTTCCCAATTCTTGCCAACCGCTCCAAAAACATCCCTACCTTTTGGTCCTTGCTGATGAGCTGATCCATCTCATCCACCAGCAGCACACACACTCCTCCCCCCCCTCCCCCTCCTCCCCCTCCCCCTCCCCCTCCTCCTCCTCCTCCACCTCCTCCCCCTCCCCCCCCTCCTCTGCCTCCTCTCCCCTGTCCCCCCTCCCTCCGCCCACCCCCCCTTCCTCTCCCACCTCCTCTACCCCTGCCACTCCCTCTGTTTACCCCGCCAGGAGCAGAGGCGGGGTGAGGGGAGGCAAATCGGAGGTTGAGGGAGTGAAGAGCTTTCTTCCACGCCACCCTCTGGCCAGTCAGTGCCTCCCACAGAACCTGCAGTGATGCCGGGCAATGGCAGGAAGGCCATGAGGACGTTGGTGGCAGAGGGAGGAGGCCGAGAAGGAGGGTGTTGGTGGGGAGGGGATTGTAAGAAACCAACAGAGAAGAAGGAAGGCAGTGGGTGAGGAGACACGCGCAGGGAAAGGGGGGGGGGGGAGAGAAGGGGGTGGGGGAGAGAAGGGGGTGGGGGAGAGAAGGGGGTGGGGGAGAGAAGGGGGTGGGGGAGAGAAGGGGGTGGGGGAGAGAAGGGGGGGGGGAGAGAAGGGGGTGGGGGAGAGAAGGGGGGGGGGAGAGAAGGGGGTGGGGGGGAAGGGGACTTAAGGCGCGTGTGATGTGAATTCAGGTTCGAACAACAGTTTGACCTCTTTATGCTTCGTGAATTCAGATTCGTGAATTTTGCTAGTCAACAACTCTGCACTTGTGTGATTCTGAATTCTGGACGGGACTCGAATTTGAGCATGAACGTGTGCACGTCCAAGCGAACAGGTGCACGTCCAAGCGAACAGGTGCACGTCCAAGCGAACAGGTGCGCGTCCAAGCGAACAGGTGCACGTCCAAGCGAACAGGTGCACGTCCAAGCGAACAGGTGCACGTCCAAGCGAACAGGTGCACGTCCAAGCGAACAGGTGCGCGTCCAAGCGAACAGGTGCACGTCCAAGCGAACAGGTGCACGTCCAAGCGAACAGGTGCACGTCCAAGCGAACAGGTGTACGTTCAAGCGAACAGGTGCACGTCCAAGCGAACAGGTGCGCGTCCAAGCGAACAGGTGCACGTCCAAGCGAACAGGTGCACGTCCAAGCGAACAGGTGTACGTTCAAGCGAACAGGTGCACGTCCAAGCGAACAGGTGCGCGTCCAAGCGAACAGGTGCACGTCCAAGCGAACAGGTGCACGTCCAAGCGAACAGGTGCACGTCCAAGCGAACAGGTGCACGTCCAAGCGAACAGGTGCACGTCCAAGCGAACAGGTGCACGTCCAAGCGAACAGGTGCACGTCCAAGCGAACAGGTGCACGTCCAAGCGAACAGGTGCACGTCCAAGCGAACAGGTGCACGTCCAAGCGAACAGGTGCACGTCCAAGCGAACAGGTGCACGTCCAAGCGAACAGGTGCACGTCCAAGCAAACAGGTGCACGTCCAAGCGAACAGGTGCACGTCCAAGCGAACAGGTGCACGTCCAAGCAAACAGGTGCACGTCTAAGCGAACAGGTGCACGTCCAAGCGAACAGGTGTACGTCCAAGCGAACAGGTGTACTTAACAAGTACAGCCCTTACACGGGATAACCTACCAGGCCTAGTCGCGGCTCGTCAAACATCGAATCTCGATAGTCGACCCTCTATGTAGTGTTGTGATGTGCTGGAAATTGGCACCCGCGACTCGAACCTCTATGTAGTACTGTGAATGAGTTAGTCAAGTGCACGTTTGAACCAAAAAGGGGTGAAAACCGACTAAAAAGACAAACTTTGGGATGTGCGCCGAATCACACACGCCCTTACAGAGAAGAAGGCAGTGGGGGCGGGCAGGCGCAGGGCGTTGATGTGGACGAACTGGAAAGGCGGCAGCCGCCCGACCCTGCTGCTCCTCCTCGCCTGCCTCATCACCTCCACCACCACTGCTGTCTTGCCCGTGCCCGGTACTCCACTGATGTACAAACACCGTGAGTTCACCTGCTGCTTTCCTGCCCCCTCCTCCTGCTGTTCCCCGTCCTCGCGACCCTCCTGCAGCCCCTTCTGCTGCCCTTCCTGCGGCTTCTCTCCCTCTGCCTCTTGCTCATCCCTCACCTCCTCCTGTTTTCTCCGCCTTCCACTCGCTCTCCCTCTCCCTCTCCCCCTCCCCCTCTCCTTCCCTCGCTCGCCTCCCTTCCCTCCCACACCCATGCCCTCCTTGTTCCCCTTCTCTTGCTCTGTGCCCGCTACTCCGCCTCCTGCCCTTTTCCCGCCATCTTCCCCGAAAGCGCCTCCCCCAAGATTAATTTCCCCAGATCCACCTCCCCCAGATCCACCTCCCCCAGATCCGCCCCCAACCACTCTCGCCACAAACCCCTCCACCTCCTGCTGCTCCTTCTCGCGGCACGGCAGGCACGGCGGCACACGGGACAGCTGCAGCGCCCTCTTCGCCCTCCGCACCGCCGCCAACCCGCCTACCGTCCTCCCCCTCTGCTCACCATCCTTCCTCACATAGCTCTCTGACTCATCCCTCTCCCCATCCTCCTCCTCGCCCTCCTCATCCCCCTCCCCGTCGCTTTCCCCATCCCCCTCATCCCACGTATCATCTCTCTCATCCTCTCTCTCTCCCACCAGCATCGCAGAATGCCCTCCGGCGCTCCTCCGATCACTATGGAACACGGAAAAGAGCCCATGGTCCCCGTCCCCTTGTGAAAATTTAAAGCCATTTTCCTGGCCCAGCCGTTGCCGCTTCTTCTGCTTGGAAGCCTGCGAGTGTATTGAGAAGCCATCACACCCACCCAGGTCCACGCAACGCAAACAGGATTCAATGTTAGTTGGCTCAAGATAACAGCGAAAGAGAACAGCAAACCTAAAGTTCCTCAGGCAAGCACAGCACTAGGACTTCTCTCCTAGTGATCCATGGGCTCCTTTCTGTGTTCCATGGTGATCAGAGGTGCATGGACCACGAGCTCATGTTCCTCCTTAGTAAAAACACAAGACACAAGAGAATTAGGAAGGATTTGCGAGTGACTGTAGGTAGGTGAGGTGAATACCGGATGAGTGTGTAGGTTGGAGGCAGCTTGCTGCTGCACTTTCCATGGCTAAATACAAAAGCTGAGTAATAGAGTCAAACGTCGACTCAAGTTGAACTGCTTTTGAGAGTTCTCAAAAGCGGAGTGCGTGGATTCGACTGGACGCCTTTGAGCCGACTCAAAAGTCATCTCGGCGTGTACGGGATAAACTCACCTCTAATACCCGTCTCAAAGCTCTAAACCGTGACTCCAACAGTTTGAGACACCAACAAATAGATATTCCTTTCTCCCACGACACACACCTTATGTCTGCTGCCCTTCCTCGTTCTCTTTCTCAACCTCCTCCCTCCCTCCACTCCCCAATCCTCCTCTTCCTCCTCGTCCTCCTCTTCCTCCTCTTCATCCTCCTCGGTCTCTAGGCTAAGATTATCGCTGTCATCGTCACTAGAATCAGTCAGCCCTATACTACTGTCACTCTCACCAGAATCACTACCATCACTCCCGCCACTCCCTTCCCCATCCTCCCCACTCCCACGCAAACCCTTTCGACTCCCCTCATCCCTCTCCCCTCTCCTCCTCTTCCCTCCCCCATCGCCTCCACACCCCTGCGCGCCCGTTCCGCCCCCACCTCCCCCTGCCATCCCCCTCATCTCCCCCACCCCCCTCATCTCCCCCACCCCCCCCATCCCCCCCATCCCCCCCATGGCTCCCGCTCCCCCCGACCCGTGCATGGGCGCGGGCAGGCGTTTGAAGGTGAGGGAGCGCGAGTGGTAGGCCATGCGGCAGAGGAACACGTCGTCTCCCGCGTGCGCTGCCGCTGCGAAGAGCGGCTCTGGGAGCACCTGGCAGGCGCGCAGTATTGTCGCCATCTGAACTTTCAGGGAGGGGAGCGGGAATGGGAAGAGAAGGAAGCGCAGGGGAAGAGAAGAAAGCGCAGGGGAAGAGAAGGAAGCGCAGGGGAAGAGAAGGAAGCGCAGGGGAAGAGAAGGAAGCGCAGGGGAAGAGAAGGAAGCGCAGAGGAAGCCACAGCGGTTAGGCGCAGGCCATGGGTCATGGGAGGGAGAGGAGAGCAGCATTGAAAGCGAAGCAAACAGTGAAAGGGCATCTGGCAGAGGAACATGCCATCCATCCATCTCCTTCCGCAGACAGCTCCCTTTCTCGATGCGCCGCTCCTCTAGCCAAAGGCACCACCTCTCTGCCCCGCTTTGCATCCCTCCTCACTGCGTTCCGCCCCTTCTCACCTCTCCCCACCGTGCTCACCTCTATCTCCTGCGTCACATCCCCATAGAACACCTCCCTCTTCCTGTGCCGCGCCTGCCTGCCCTCCACCGTCTCCTCCGGCAACACATACCACCTCACCTTGCACCACCACCCACTCTCACCCCCCTCCGCCTCCGCCTCCCCCTCCCCTTCCCCTTCCCCTTCCCCTTCCCCCTCCTCGTCCCCTTTCTTCCCCCCCACTCCCTCCTCCTTCTCATCCCTCCGGCTACCGCGTTCCTTTGATTCATCCACGTGCCAGATCCTCTCGATTCGACCAATCGCAATCTCCCCATCGAACACTCGCTCCCGCGCCGTTCGCCGCCTCTTCTGCTTCTCCCCCCCCCTCCCCCGCCTTCCCCCCTTTCCCCACATTCCCCACCGTCCCCGCCTTCCCCGCTTTCTCCGACTTTCCCCTTTTGCTTCCGCTCCCCCCTCCCCCCGCTCCTCCGGCACAAGCCGGGCAGAACCAATCGCCTTCTGGAATCTCCACAAGGGGCGGCTCGAGGCAGCCGAGGTGGAAACCACCAAGGCAGCCGTCGCACTCCACCATCACCTCCCCCTCCCCCTCCCCCTCCCCCTCCCCCTCCCCCTCCCCCTCCCCCCTCCCCCTCCCCCTCCCCCTCCCCATCCTCGTGCCTCTCCCCTTCTCCCGCACCATCAACTTTCCCGCAGATCTCGCATGCCTCTTCGCTCGCATAAGATTCGTCTGAATCCGAGCTGTCGGCAGCGTCCTCGGGGGCTCCATCGGACAAATCGCAGCCGTTGATCTTGACGTAGACGCAATCGCCGATGGAGAATTCGTGGCCGTCTAAGTGGACGCGATCGACGTGGTGCCGCTTGGAAGGAGCACGGCTTCTAGTAGGACGGGAACGAGGAGCCATGGATCCCCACCCCACCCCACCCCGACTCGTCTTGAAGGTTGAGACGCTTTGAAAGTGTCTGGAAGGGGCACGGGGACGAGGAGGCAGTGAATTCGGATTCAGAGTTTTTTCGGATGAAACAACAACGGAAGTTCCAAGACGTTCAAAGTGGATAACACCCACTTCTACCTCTGCCAATCTCTCCTTGGCGGAAGGAGTTTAAAAGTTAGGAATCCCATCACAGTTCCAAGAAGCACGGGCGGATTGCACAGGCTTGCGCATTAGGCAATGCACTCGGTGTTGAGAGGGATGAAATGAAAGGCACTTATAGCGACAAGATACATTTGGCAGTAAGGTTTGAGTTTGTCAGTGTGCAAAACGATTTCGCCTCAGTGAAAACAAAGCAACTTGGCGAGACGAATGGGCAAAGTTTTGAAGCTAAGGTGCTTCAGGAGAGCTTTCAAGGGGGGTTGTGGGCGCTGTGGTGAAGGTTGTTAGGGTGTGGTGTCACAAAACAACGAAGCTCCCCTCACACAGTGCTTGGATCGGAATATGCAGCCAGTCATGAATGTCTAGAGCGTAATGCACAGACAGCAGCAACCACACGTAAAGCTCAAGGGAAACTCTGGAATCGGTGCTGACAAGAAACTTACTACAGGACTAGGGAAAAGGCACTCTAACAGTCGCTGGGGGGTTTATAACATAAGCACGTACGAATTCGGGTACACCATGCAATCATCCGTCGTTGGATAGACAGTGAAAGTGAGAGTGAAAGTAGGGAATGAGAAGAACCATGGTATAATCACAGAAAACAGTGGAGCAAGCGAGATAGGGGAGCAGGAAGGGGAGATGCGGAGGCGGTGGGGATGGCATGATGGGAAGGATAGGATGGGGCGGGCACGTGGGGAAGGGCAGATGCAGGGAAGGACAGGGCAGGGAAGGACAGGGCAGGGAAGGACAGGGCAGGGAAGGACAGGGCAGGGAAGGACAGGGCAGGGAAGGAAAGGGCAATATGGGTAGGGCCGGAAGGAAAGGGCAATATGGGTAGGTCCGGACGGAAAGGGCAATATGGGTAAGGCCGGACGGAAAGGGCAATGGCCGGACGGAAAGGGCAATATGGGTAGGGCCGGACGGAAAGGGCAATATGGGTAGGGCCGGACGGAAAGGGCAATATGGGTAGGGCCGGACGGAAAGGGCAATATGGGTAGGGCCGGACAGAAAGGGCTGGAAGGGAAGGGGAGCATGGGAAGGGGAGCATGGGAAGGGGAGCATGGGAAGGGAAGCATGGGAAGGGAAACGCTGAAAGTGCTGGGCAGGCATTGTAAAAGGGGAGGGTAAGCATGGGCATTTGACCCGACCCGGCCCGACCCGTCCCGTTGAGGGCAACCCGTTAGCTTAACGGGTCGGGTCGGGTCGGGTTAGCGGGTCGGGTTTGACTCTGTTTTGGTGACCCGACCGACCCGCCCCGTGGGAACGGGTATTTGTGACCCGTTACCGGGTCGGTTACACCACGGGTCGGGTCGGGTCGGATCAAAATATGCTACATAGCAGCAGGGTCGGGTCGGAGCGCCAAACCCTAACCTGAAGATAATATGCAGTTTAAATAGTGCTAACATTGAAGAGTGAAGACTGTATGAGGCTCCCTAGCTGCAGCGCAGAAGTACTAGCCTTGATCTAGTCTAGCGACTAGATCAGAATGTCGAGGGAAAAAAAACCTAAAAAACCAACCGATGTTCAACCCCTACCCTAATCCGAAAACGGGTCGGGTAACCCTGTCATTTGACTGGATACGCGACCCGGACGGGACGGGTCAACCCGACCCGGCGGGTCGCAAAAACCCGTCACTAAATCACAGTGACGGGTCACGGGTCGACCCGACCCGTCCGGGTTTTCCCGAACCGACCCGGGCGGGTCGGCCTTCTCAGCATTCCTGACCCGACCCGTCCGGGTCAAATGCCCATGCTTAGGGGAGGGGAGGGGAGGGGAGGGGAGGGGCACACGATGTGCGACGACTCACAGTACAGGGGGAGCCTGGCTTCTATTTGTGGCCTGCTATGCTGGCGATGTCCAGTCCAGTCCAGTACACGCCCTCGCTCCCCTACACCACTTGTCCACGCCCCCCCTGAGCAGCGCTTGTAGCGGCGGCGTAGCGACCGGCTATACAAGGACGCGCGACTGGAAGGCGGGGGAGGGACATGGCATGGTAGGCAATCGCGAGGAAGGTTGAGAGAAATGGGGAGATGGGAGGTGGGAAGGAGAGATAGGGAGGCAGGCAGGGGGAATGAGAAGGCTAGAAGGAAAGGGAAAGGCAGGAAAAGGGAGATGGGGCTGGTGAAGAGGGAGACGGGGTGGCATGCAAAGGTGACGGGGAGAACTGACATGGAGATGGGGAGGCATTTACGGGAAACATTAGAAGGCAGGGAGGGGGATACACGGAGGCAGGCGGAGACGGGGAGCTTGGCAGGAGAACTGGTGTGCTTATGATAGAAAGGAAGACAGGGAGGCACGAAAGTTAGATCGCAAGGAAGAAAGGGGAGGTTGGGAGGTGGGGAGGTGGGATGGGAAGATGGGGAGATGGGGAGATGGGGAGGTGGGGAGGTGGGGAGGTGGGATGGGGAGATGGGGAGATGGGGAGGTGGGGAGGTGGGGAGGTGGGGAGGCGGGGAGGTGGGGAGGTGGGGAGGCGGGGAAATGCGGAGGTGGGGAGGCGGGGAGGGGGAGGTGGGGAGGCGGGAAAGGGGAGATGGGGGGCGGGAAAGGGGAGATGGGGGGGCGGGAAAGGGGAGATGGGGGGGCGGGAAAGGGGAGATGGGGGGGCGGGAAAGGGGAGATGGGGGGCGGGAAAGGGGAGATGGGGGGGCGGGAAAGGGGAGATGGGGGGGCGGGAAAGGGGAGATGGGGGGGCGGGAAAGGGGAGACGGGGGGGCGGGAAAGGGGAGATGGGGGGGCGGGAAAGGGGAGATGGGGGGGCGGGAAAGGGGAGATAGGGGGGCGGGAAAGGGGAGATGGGGGGGCGGGAAAGGGGAGATGGGGGGGCGGGAAAGGGGAGATGGGGGGGCGGGAAAGGGGAGATGGGGGGGCGGGAAAGGAGAGATGGGGGGCGGGAAAGAGGAGATGGGGGGGCGGGAAAGAGGAGATGGGGGGGCGGGAAAGGGGAGATGGGGGGGCGGGAAAGGGGAGATGGGGAGGCGGGAAAGGGGAGATTGGGGGGCGGGAAAGGGGAGATGGCGGGGCAGGAAAGGGGAGATGGCGGGGCGGGAAAGGGGAGATGGGGGGGGAGGGAAAGGGGAGATGGGGAGGCGGGAAAGGGGAGATGGGGAGGCGGGAAAGGGGAGATGGGTAGGCGGGAAAGGGGAGATGGGGAGGCGGGGGTAGCAGTGGCAGGCAGGGGAAAAGCCGAGGCTGGTAGGGGAGATCGGAAGGCGCGCAGGGGAGTTTGGGGAGGGGAAGGGGGAAGGGGAGATGGCGACGAAAGGCAAACCCTGTTGGGGAGGTGTGAAGGGGAGATGGGGAGGCGTGAAGGGGAGATGGGCGGACGGGAAGGGGAGATGGGCGGGCGACAAGGGGAGATGGGCGGGCGGGAAGGGGAGATGGGCGGGCGACAAGGGGAGATGGCGGCGGAAGGGGGAGCTGGTGAGGCGGCTGTCGCGATCTCACATGCGACTGCGGCGGCTGGTGAGCGAGCGGGCGCCGAATGCGATCGTGCGAAAGCACGCTAAACACCAGTGTTGGAGCGGCGAGCGCGTTCACAGTGGCGTGAGGAGGCAGTGTGGGGCGGTGTGGCGACGCGACCGGCGTCGAGGCTACATCGGAACCTATACCTGTGTGTCAAACAGCATGCCATCCAGTGGCTTGATGTTTGATAGGCATCGCTGGGGAATTTTTCGCGATGCCTGGGATTGGCGTGTTGCATTACACACTTACAGCGTGTTACTTGCAGGTTGATTTCGACACCCCATCCGGCATCATTCCCAACCCCTGGTTTCCCTCCAAAATCAAACTCGCCATTTCCTTGCAGCGCCCAAGTACTGTACACAGCCAATTGCGGAAAAAGGTTCCGTACATTTTTTTTCTCCGGTCAAGAGTTTCGGGTTGATGCAAAACATCTGTGAAGAAATCGAAGTGTGACTGTTCGCCATAGAGTGACTCGACATTCTTCGCGGGCGAGGCCGAACTACAGTAAAACATATTACCACATGTAACTGTTAGAGTATGCTTTGTTTTGTCGAATCGGGAATCGTGATCGGATATAAATTAGAAAACTACTCTCGGTGCTACTGATTTCTGCATTCCATAATTGGTTCAAAAAAACTGAAAACATCATTGATTAACCGTGTAAAAATTTTAATGGATATAATATGTTAATGTACATACACGGCATGACATGACAAATTGGGTAATAGTGACGTTCAACCTGAGAAAGTACGAACGAGAAGTGAAATGACTATGAACGAAGTGAGTACAAATAGGAAACCCTAATTGGGTTGTACCCCCTATGGGATACCCCACTATAGCCTACAGAAACAAATAAGCTATAAGTTCTAACACACCCCCATAGGCAAAGTGGGGGAGAACAAGGGGTCACAAGACCGGTCAAGCAAAGCAAAGCAAAGCTCAGGGTGGATCACAAAGTCACCACGCATTCCGAGCACAAGTTCAAAGGCCACAAGGCCAGTTCACATGCAAGATCATATATAGAGATATACAAGAGCAAGAGTATATATATGCGAAAGTACAAGCAAGGTCAAGAGGAGAGCAAGTGAGGCAAGACAGGCACAAGACCCAACTGCGTGCAGCAACGCTGATGATCACAAGGCGCAAGTGCCTTGGTGAAGACATCAGCAGTGTTGGCCTCAGAGGCCACGTACGCAAGTCGCAGCTGTCCACGCTGCTGTAGCTCACGAGCAAGAAAGTAGCGAAGAGCAATGTGCTTCGTTCTGTGCTCCAGTCGCTGCTCTCGACACAAGGCCAGCATGGCCTTGTTGTCTACGTACAGGACTGGAGGAGAACGAGGCTGCTCTCCAAGGTCGGTCAGCAGGTAGGTGAGCCAGCGTAACTCCTGTGCAGCCATAGCCCCAGCGTAGATCTCAGCCTCACAACTGGAGCCGAGAACAGAAGACGAGCGGGTAGCCCGCCACGAGACAGAGCCGGAACCAAGGCTGAAGGTGTAACCCTGTGACGACCGCTGCGTAGCCTGGTCGTCAGCCCAAGAAGCGTCTGCGTGCCCAGTGAGGACCACTGGACTGCGCCCTCCAAGCACTAGCCCCATGCCCGACGTACTGCACAAGTAGCGCAACACCCTCTTCGCTGCAGCCATGTGCTCTGGTCGGTGTCTCCCAGGAGCAACAAAGCGTGCGAGAATGCTAAGAGGGTATGCGAGGTCAGGTCGTGTGCAGGTCATCAGGTACATGAGGCAGCCAACAAGCTCTGCAAACGGGCCACTCGACTCTACGGACTCATCCGAAGGCAGAGCTGAGAGCGAGTGGCGAGTAGGCAGAGGAGTGGCCTGAGGCGAGGAGTACGTGAAGCCGAAGCGCTGAAGGACCTGCTGCACCATGTGTGACTGAGTCAGGGTAATGGTGCGGCGTGCTCTGTCCCGGGTGATCTGCAAGCCAAGGTAGCTGCGCAGTTCACCCAGGTCAGTGCACGTGTGTCTCTTCTGCAGCTCGGACTTCACGTAGGCGAGTCCAGCAGTGTCAGCTGTGGCAAAGACCAAGTCGTCGACGTACACGAGGATGTAGAACGGCGGCAGAGAGGTGTCGGTACGCAGAAACAGCGACGGGTCGGCAGTGGAAGGAGCAAACCCAAGTGCCGCGAGCGTAGTCCTCAGTGTGTCGTGCCACTCACGTGGCGCCCGGCGGAGACCGTAGACTGGACGCCGGAGACTCCACTGGGTACCAGGAGGGAAAGACCCAGTGAAGCCAGGTGGGCGACGCAGCCAGATCTCCTCGTGCAGGCTGCCCTGCAAGAAAGCTGTGCTGAAGTCGAGAGAGTGCAGCTCGTAGTCACGGTGAGCAGCAACGTGTAGCAGAACCCGAAGAGTGGTCATCTTCGGGGTGGGGGAGAAGGTCTGAAAGTAGTCAACCCCCTGCCGCTGACTGAAGCCACGAGCCACGTAACGCGCCTTGAAGACAGGCGGAGAACCCGGCGGCCGCTTCACCCTGAAAATCCACATGCCACTGACGATGTTTGCCCCAGGAGGGGGAACAGCGTCAACATAGGTGCCTGTGGACTTCCAGGAAGCCATCTCTGCATCCATAGCTGCCTGCCACTGAGAGGAGTAGGGACCCTCTATCGCCTCCGCGTAAGAGCGCGGAGTCGGGATGTCTGGTGCATCCGGGTCTCCCTCAGGGGCTAGCAGTACAGACGCGAGACGAGGTGAAGCGGCGGCCAGACACTGGAACTCCTCCTGCCTGTCCTCAAGGACGTCCGTGCCAAGGGCACACTCACCCCCGACGGACGGAGGACAGGCGGTCTCAGACTCAGTGACAAGACGAGCAGCGTAGTCTAGACGACAGCGCGCAGCAAAGTCGACAAGCTCAGTGACAAGGGCAGACGCAGCAGACGACTCGAAGGAGGGGTCAGTGACAGCAGTAGCCAGGAGACGCGTGACAGTAGGACTGGCAGCACGAAGAGCGTCCGACTCCGGGTCGGCAAGAGCAGGAAGAGAGGAAGCAGGAGGAGAAGGCAAAGGGGCACGCAGAGGAGCACTGGACGGACGCAGTGACATCCGGTGCGTGCCAGGGACAGGAGGAGGACGCTGACGCGACCCGCGACCACTAGCGCGCTCAGTACGAACAGGCGACACAGGACGAGACGCAGGCTCACGACGCTCAGTAAGACCTCCAGTCGGACCAGCGTAGGGAGAAGGAGCAGGCAAAGGGGAGGCAGGCTGTAGCTGTGGCTGTGACCGGACAGGCTGCGGACCCTCTAAGGGAGGAGGAGGAGGTGGAAGACCAAGAACCTGCTGCAGGAGCGGAACGAAGTACGGTCGGGGCCGCGCGGCGACGCTAGAAACAGCAGGAACAGCACCAGCAGCCCCGGCAGGAGCACCCACTCCAGCAGCACCTCCAGCAGCACCACCAGAAGCTCCAGAACCTCCAGCCGCAGCACCAGGAGCACTGTCAGTCGGGCCGCCAACGGCAGGCTCAGCGCCAACACCCTCAGCAGGACCAGCTCCAGGAGAACTCTCAGACTCAGCAGCTCCAGCACCCACAGTACGAGCACCGGCGGGGCGCGCAGCAGCAGTGCCCTCTGCAGCCGAAGAACCACCAGCACCAGCAGCACGCCTCCAGCGCCCGGCAAACCACTCACGCAGCTCCTGTGGGGAGAGTGGCTCCCGGCGAGACGAAGCACCCCCAGGCACAGCACCCCCGGGCTCAGCACCCCTAGACACAGCACCTCCAGGCACGGCACCCCCAGGCACAGCACCCCCAGGCTCAGCACCCCCAGGCTCAGCACCCCCAGACTCGGCACCTCCAGGCTCAGCACCCCCAGACTCCGCACCCCCAGGCTCAGCTCCCGCAGCAGCACCAGAGTCACCAGTGACCTCGACAGGCTCGACCGCGTCTACCTGGGACACACCTGAAGGGGCAGGACCCTGAGGGGGGAGGGGGACTACCGGGGGGGGACCTGGTACCAAGAAGAGCGGGGGTGGGGGGAGGGACGGAGTGCGGTAGGGGAAGAGGCGGTAGTAGGGCACCGACTCTTCGAACGTGACGTCCTGGGAGGACAGAACACGTCGAGAGGTGGGGTGGTAAAACTGCCACCCAGGGGCGTCGGGGGGGAACCCCAGGAAGACGCAGGGAGAAGCACGAGGGGACAGCTTGTCCGCAGACAGGTCGCGATCAAACGCCCGAGATCCCCAGACCCGGAACGCCGACGCATCGCCAACCTTCCCCGTCCACAGCAGGGTTGGGGAGGTCTCCGGTCGAGAGACCCTGGGGTGGAGGTTGATCTGGTGCGCAGCGTACCTGACCGCAAACGGCCACAGAAAATGGGGAGCAGCCGCATGCATCATGGACGTACGAGCGACGTCCATGACCATGCCAATGCGGCGCTCAGCAATCCCATTTTGCTGCGGTGAGTCCGGAAGCGTGAAGGTCTGACGGATGCCTCGCACACGACAGTAGGCACTCAGGAGGCCGGAGGAGAACTCTCCACCTCTGTCCGAGTGCAGACGCAAAACAGGGAAGTCAGAGCCAAAGCTCCTCCGAAGCTGGAGACGAGCTGCGCGGATCCAGTCGATCAGCACCTCAGTGACCTCACCCTTGCTGCGCAAGGGGAAGACTGTGGTGTAACGCGAGTAGTCGTCAACCACCAGCAGGAAGTAGCGCTCCTGAC